AGACTATACTTCAAGAAACCCAGATCTTTGGAAAACCATTGTCCTATCTCTATGAATATACTCAATTCAAAAGCCAGACGTTTAATAACATATAAAGATATACGAGAAAGATTATTCTACTTATAAGAAGCTCATCTAACTATTATACGTTCTGTGAAAGTAATATATAGACAACGACTGCGAAAACAGAACATGATCATTGTAACGATTTTCTGATAAAAGAAATGTTAATCCGAGTGAAGTTACACTTTATTTCTGTTTTCATATGACAAAATCGCACACTCACATACATCAACACGTGGTCTTGTTTAAGCAATTAGAAGAGACAATAAAGAAGAAAGTCAAAAAGACAGATGGTCAATGATACACAGGTATGATAAAAGGAATGACAAAGGAAAGATAGAGCATATAAAGAAATGATAAGAAAAAGAAGAGTAAACACATCATGTATGAGTAGTTAATTCAATCAAGCAGTGAGAGTGAGTAATGGCACACACTGAACTTAACCGAGAACATCACAACTATGTTCGATTTTGACTTTGATTCTATAGAAAGGTTATTTTTTTGAACAAGTTCTTTTTCGATGAATATATGAAAAAATATTGGTCTTTTAGCTTACATCTAATTAAACTTGAGTAGTTAATTAATCAAAACATAATCATCGAATATCATTCTAATCTTATGATTGAAAAGTTCAAGAACTTCAGAATAGACTCCACACCACGACTATATCTTCAATGAAACTTTCAATAAGACTGGCTTCCAAAAAACTGTCTCTATAACCAGTTTTCTCGAGGTCTACTCTTGTTCAAGAATGAAACTTTTTGTTTTATTATTATCTCGTGATTCTCAAGAAGGATTTGCACCATTTAGAATTTCTTTTTGAACTTCTCATTCAGTTACAAAAGAATTTTTCATTTTGTATATTCTCATTTGCTCATGTCACTAACCAATTCATCACGTAGCTAACAACGAATAAGCACAACTTTTTAAAACACCCAAACATATTCAAGAAAAATTTTGTATAGCGAATCGTCTAAATAAAATGCGTCATTCACCATATTATGCCGAGTCAGCTTCAAAAATTTATCATACATGGCTTTGATTGTCTTTTATGAAGATATACAAAGGTACTTTTGACATTAAAAATATCTTCTAACTAATATAAAGATGCTGACTTAGTTATGATAAGTACACTTTCAATTCTTAACAGTAGATAACTTATCATTTTGCCCTATTTGAAATACACAGATATTATATTAGATTCTTTATAACTTAAAAAATACTAGCATCCACATTGATCAACCTATAATACAGGGCGTTATTCGTTGAAAAAAGCCGAGTGATAATCATCCTTTTTTCAAACAGCTCGTTGCTATCTCGGTGAAAGGTTCGATGATCAGCGGACTGAAAGAGAAGAACTCATCTCAAAGACTTCACAGTAACATGACTTGACACCATTGGATCTCTTTTAATGAGAATATATAAAACAAATGTACAGAACACAATTATCCAAGATCTGAATGATTTGGGAATCAAAATAATACCAATAATTGAAGCCATCAAAAAGAACTGCTACATAAATTTTCTGAAAATAGAAAAAAAAGGCAAAAGTTTTCGTTTATGATTGAAGAGTGATATTACTGAACAGCGCTTTTGAATTTTGTTTATAGCAATAAGAGCTAGGCGAACTCATCTATCATATAAAAGACTAGTCAATATAGCTCCATTAATAGTGGGATTATGCAAAATTACGTTTGATAAGGAATTTTTAAGACTCCTGCTGTTAACTAATTGTCTAACTGCACATCTAACTACTTGTGTATTGGGCTATCCATCTTAATATATACTTATCTAACTAATTTATTTAATTAGGTATATCCTTACCTATCTATCTGTCCTCTTCTCAGAGTAAAAAAGCCATACATGAAGAAAGACGTTGCATAAGATTAAAAGTAAGAAAATACAACGCATAAGATATTTGCAGAAAAAAATTAAATAGATTGAGAGAGAAACAGACGAAATAAAAAAAGTTAAACCACGCAAATGAAAAATGAAACGAAAATGTTGTTGCAGTATATGAAAGTTGAAAACACACTATGTTAATCACATAGTAAAGTAAAAAACAAAAGGGTATCAAATTTCATATTTGTTATAGACTTTTCATCCTAGCTGAGAAAGAATCGAACTCAAATGAGAGAGAATGAGAAAAATTTTTAATAAGAGAGACAAAGACAAATGTTAGTTCTAGCATGTTTAGAGCTTATGGGTTATGTAGTGTCAGTGATGTTACGTGACAGAACGAAGAAAATGATGCTCTTCGTAGAACACGAATCACACATCTTGTACTATTCGGACAGATGACCTAAGCCAATTAGACTAGAACAGACATCTAAATTTTTGTTTAGCGTCGGAGTGTATCATCACCAATCTTAACAACAAATAGACTTAATTTTAGGCCATAGAATATTGTCTTTTGTAATCTCTTCTTTTTTTACCGTTCGATTTTACAATCGACTATCGTGATCATGAGTATAAAAGAAAACTGAGCAAAGCAAGTAGATTATTTTAAACAGATATGAAAAATTCTGTGAACATGGACCTGAAGAAAATTAAATTGGAGAAAGGTTTGATATACTGAGATGAGGGAAATTGCACATCTAGCACGTTTGTCTTTATTATCAAAAACTCGGTAGACAATGACGAAAAATGAAACAAGGTACTTCTTTACTTTAACTACATGCATCGAGGAGAAAGAGCAGTAGAAAATAAATAAGAAAAAATCGAATATATAACTGCTATGAACAACATGTTTGTTTTTTTTTGTTTCAAACTGAAATAATATAACATTCAAGCTATCGTGTTCTTATCTGAACACATCATTAGGAATGACAATATGAAAGATTACATTTAGTTTATAGATGAGAAGACTGCAATGATAAAACAGAGAGTAATTGAAGGAAGAATAAGAGTCAATTATTTATGTTTGCAACTTTTAATTGAATAACAATATCAGTTGATGTGGGTGTTTGCGCTTGAATAAGAATCTGGATTAGTTCTTTATGTTTACGATACACTACGAATATGAATCTGTTACTTATGTTCACCATTTATAATCGAATAAGAATATGACTAGTTGATTATTTATGTTTACAGTACACGAGAAGACAATCACGATAGAGAAAAGAACAATTGAAGAAAGAGCAAGAATATGAGTTAGTTATTTCTGTTTACAATTGACAATTGAAATTCAATCATGTTAACAGTTATATAATGAATACATACTTATTTAAGTTATGAAGAATTGGTAAGGCTGTGTTAGTTCCTTTTTTTTGCCACTATTGATGTAGCTATATTAGTTGTTAATCAAAGACAAAATGCATGTTGCGTACCGTTTATAACATTACCGAATATTCTATTTGTGAAAATGCTTTCTTTTATTATATACTTTCTTCAGTCAGTTCCAGTAAATGAAAGAATTCAATGCTAATAACATTCCAAAAAAAAGTAAAAGATTCCAAGCAGAAAAAAAGTAATGGAAGTAAATTTTTCGATGCTAAAATCTATATAAAATTTTACCCTCATGTTTCTGAGAAGGTATGAGAGTAGTGGAGCTAAAATTTTCGATGCTCAAATCTATATAAAATGTTACCTTCATATTGCTGGGAAGGTATGAGATAATGGGGGTAAAATTTTATATAGAGTTTAGCATCGAAACATTTATCCCCATTACTTTCTTTCTGTTCAGAATTTCTTGTTTTTGTTTTGAACACTATTAACACTGGAATCCCGTACTTACTCAATATGCAATATCAATCAGCAATATTATACAAACGTAGAATTGAACAATTGCCAGCAACATGGGCGAAGGTTGTCGAAAATAATGGTGATTATATTGTTGATTGCCGTTGCATACTTTTGTCATAAAGTAAATTTGTTGGTGAACAAAAAAAAACTTGCAAAACTTTTGTTACAACCCAATAGTTTTAAAGTGATACAGTTCTAACTATTCATGAAAGTGAACAACTAATTTATCAAATTTTTCTCGATATTTAGCATTTTGTTGATTATACTTAAGTTTCATCTTTTCTTTTATCTTCCCTTACTATATGTCATATACAATAACGAAAAATATTATTGTTTATAATACAATTAAATTGAATCAAAGACAGATATTTACTATGTATAGTTTTTGTTCAATGATTATTTGCTTGTCTAACAACAGTTACATTTTCTATTGATCAACAATATGTTTCACTAACATTTGATCAAGTTAAAAAACTCGTCTTTAGTTAGAAAATGGTAATTTATTTGTGACACGTGTTGAATCTATTTCTACAATAGACCACAATGGCATAGGTTTTTTTGTTCATTTTAAAAAAGAAATTATTTCGATAAAAATTATTATATTGACGTCATGAGAAATTTTAGTTCTTATCAATCAGTTTTTTTCATTACTGATTTTTACGCCGTGAATGTAATGAAAATGTATTATTAAGGAAATACTATGTAAATTTATTCATTCAAAACTTCTTATTTTAGTAAAATAAACTGTTATAAGTATGGCTTCTGTCTATACTAGGATTATTTCAAAGTAGATACAAGTTTTCTTTAGATTATTTGATCATTGTTTTGTTAAAGCTATTAATCACTTTAATAAATATGCAGATATGAATGGAAATAGCGAATAAGTGTTTTTGTTTACTTAATTAAATCACGAAAATCTTTTGAATCTTCTTTCACATAAAACTATGATGTTCTATATTAACTTTAGTATATAACTTGTATTTATATACTACGATTATATTATAATAGAATGAAAAATCAGAAAGAAGTTCTTTAGTAGGTTTTAATAAACTTTATGTTTATGTTGATTTCACTGGTGGTAATGTACATTCATTTTGTTTAATACGTAATAATTCATAATGTGCAGCAACAAATTGTCGAGTAAATTTTACAAGTTCATTTATATTATTATCATTTGCTAATCGATCAATATGTTGAAAAACATAGAATTCATCGAGAATATACATTGATATTGGTGGTACATAATGAAATGTATTTGGTTCAGGATCAGCACGTAACTTTGATAGTCCATCACGTTTTACTGTTTCTTGTGGAGTAAAAGCCCAAAATCCTGGAACAAACGAAGGTCGAACACCTAGTGATGCTGCAAGACAGTTAAGAGCCACTATATAAATAAATTCTTATGTGTATATATATATTCAAAAGAAAAGAATCTGGAATATAATCTTACCATCACTATAAGGTACTTTCTCTATTGGCCAATGATCTTGAAAAAATGAATCTATTTTTGGATACATCATTTCCATCAAAGCAGAACTAAGAAAAAAACCAGCACCACCTGATGGATATGTTACGCCTGCAATCGTTTGATTTTTGTTTTTGAAACATGAATGATCGAAAGGATGACCACCAATAACAAGAGGTTTAGTATGATTAAAGTGATCAAGACGTTTGAGTAAATGTGGAACATTTACAAATGTATCACAACCTGCTAGAAAATAAAATTTTGCTGTTTGATTATGTTCTTGATAAGCTATTTTCATGCCTTGATATAACTTTTTCATATTAGACACATAATTTTCTCCTGCTCCTTCAATAACAGTGACAGGTAATGATGGATATGGTGTTGAACTAAAAAAATATTTATGTGTAACACGTGATAACCATGTATCTCGAGTTGCTATTGCACGATTTTGATAAAAGGAAGCACCTGTATAAATAATAAATACAATATCACTTTCTATATATCGTTCAGGTGGAATCCAATTATTTCGAGGTATTGGAAGAATATCACAATATGCTAAAAAACACATTGATATAAATACTATAGGATAACAACAGCGATTTAGTAGCATCAATTTACTAAATATTAACGATATTCATACTCATATTTACTAACTACAATTTATAGATGAGAAAAAAAAAGATTCGAATTGTCGTCAAAACTGATAGATTATCTGAATTTTCTGATATTTTTTTGTCTCGTATGATAGAAGTACTCATTTCAACATTGTGCGTTGCTAAATGAAAGAAAAAATACAAAAAAAGATAAATACTCTGATATCGTCAATGTCTGAGTGTTTTGCTGTAAATTAGTATTGGTAAGTTAGTGCTTTTAGTGAACTTCAGTGTCTGTATTATCAGTGCTAAAGTAAAAGTTGGTGTTAGTCTATCAGTATTGACATCAATATTTGACATTCCTATCGAAAGATAGGTACAATCTAGAATACTTACGACGAAGTACATTTAAACGATAGTCTTCAAATAAAAAAATATTTGTCTTGTTGTGTGTATTATTTGCTTTTACATAATCACAAATGAAACTCTTGTTGCTCAGGTTATTTGTATGAATTATCAGATTATTTTCATTGTTTAAAATAAGTTTTGTAATATTAGTATTTATAGTAATATTTGTTTGTAAAGGTTTAAAACTTAATCGAACACGAAGTTTTTCAAAGGAGAATGGATAAAAAATTGATAACATGAAATAAATGGTGCAGAAGAGACCAATAACTCCAGAACCTATTTGAACACAGACAATAGATGATAAGTTGGGAAACACTTTTGACAATAATGGTCGCATGAATAATGATCTTCTATGAATGAAAGTGCTGTTTTATTTTTTTCTTCTGATGTGGAAGTTTTCTTTACACCCTTGAACAACTAGAAAAAAAAGCAGACGTCGTCAAAATGATACGCAGCAACATTCTATAATGGAGTAGGAAAACAATGTTACTTTCATTGCAGCAATGAGTGAAAAAGAAAAAAGTGCGTCATCTTTGTTGACTGCCGGATGTTGTAATATTCTTTAAATGGAAACATTTCTAAGTATTTGATATTTTGCGAATGTTTTTTTTGTTTTCAACTCACCCCTTGTGATGTATTTATCCAAAATTGAACGTGTTTTTGTTTTCTCCTCGGCGTTTTATTCAATGAAATATTTCACAAAAAGGATAAAATCTTTATTAAGAAAAGTATTTCAACGACAATGCTAGTCTCATTCAAATGATATAATCTAATCAGACAAACAATCAAAAAAAAACCGTAAAGACGTGTCGAAGTTTTAATGAAAATTGAATCGTAAGAAATGCACATTTTTAACAAGTTAGGAATGCTTTAATCCTTTGAAAATCATAGTTCAATCAATGAACGAAATTTCTTTGAGGTTTTTGTATATGACATGGGCAGTATGCACTGTTGATATTTTCATCGAAGGGATACGGGTGTGAGTCAAAATTCGATTGAGTGGCATCACCAAATCATCCTTTGGAACATTACTAGAAGCCACTCCTAGCTTGATTCCAACACGAAAAATCGAAATATTTTGTGGATCGTAAAAGGACATTATCTGCCCCCCTTCTTTTTAGAATAGAAGTTGTGTGCCATAGATCCATCAGGCTTACTACCTGAGTGACCTTATTAGGGTGATAACTCTTAAATAGATGTATCCACCGAAGTCTCTTCCATTTCTTAGAGAAAACCACACTTCGATACCATTTTGCGTTCGCAGGTTATTCAAAGATTAAGAAACTTGAAAAAACCTTATCTTGTAAAGCACAGTGGACCTGAAAGTGTTAAAATGTGCACTTTTTACAATTTCGTTAACATGGGCTTTTATTGCGATAAAATTTTTTCATACTGCAGCTAAGATTTAATTGACTTACAGACACAAAAGGTCTTAAAAATTTACAAATCGAAATTATCAAGTTGTTTGACAACTTTCAGAATACCTATTATAGTTTCTTAGAAACTAAGAAGTGGTTACTAATTCTTTATCAAATGTACATTATCAAATCGGCAAAGTAGTGCACTATTTACATGATGTTTTACATTCACATACTCATCTACTCTCAGCATTTCGTGGATCTTGCTATGAATACGGAAAAC